TTCCTGTTAAATTAATAGGTAGCACACCATACAAACAACCGGACCTGCTTTTTTGCACAATTAACCCATAGACCTCATTGCTATAGGTTCTTGTAATGGCCAAAAGCATAAGTGGGTTTAAAAAAGAACTAGATGTGTTCATGGATTCCTCAATGGCAATTAGCTAAGTTGGCTATGCATGAAATCCCATGTTTGGCACAACCCTAAACCTCTGCTAAAAGCTGGGGTATAGTGCTCAGATGCTCTGGTTCTAGCCACTGTCAGAGATAAGATAATGGACTAGAGGGACTTTTGGTCAGACACAATATCAGTTTTTATGCTTCTGGGTTTCTTCTATTCACAGATTTATATTTAAAAAAGAAGAAGAAAGACTAGAGAGGTTATCGACACTGAATGTCAACTCATATTTGAGATATTTAAAGCAAAAGTTCGCAGCCCACAGGCAGCTTGCAGTCCAATCAGCACACAGCTAAGGGCCACGTGAGATCCTGAAGGACATGCAGATAGTCTATATATTGTGTGGATGCATCGGTCCACATAACACAGAGAATTATATATGTTGCCAATGGTAAACAGGTTGAGAATCACTGTGTATGTTTACACTAGTTATGTTAGTCGTGTTTAGCACGTTACAAAATATTAAATGAAGTTGTCTGATGTTATGTCAGTGGTCTCCAACCTTTTTAACCAAAAGATAACTTTTTCAATTTAAGTGCAATGTAAAATCTACCTCAAATCCAAATACCCTTGCTCCACTTCTTTCCCACCACTTCTTTGAGGGACTGCCCCTGCTTCACCCCTTCTCAGAGGCCTCACCCAGCTCACTCCACTCCCCCTTCCTCACTCACTTTCACCAGGCTGGAGTAGGGGGTTGGGATGCAGGCTCTGGTCTTGGGCCAAGGGTTTTGGAGTGTGGGAGGGGCTCTGGGCTTAGCCCAGGGCAGGGGATTGGGGTCCAGGAATGGTTTCAGGATGCAAGCTCTGGGAAGGAGTTTGGTTGCAGGCAAACTCACACCTGGACAGGAGACTGGGTGTAGAAGGAGATTCTGGGTGTAAAAGGAGGTTCAGGGCTGCGGCAGGGGTTCAGGAAGCAGGCTCTGGCTGGCCACTGTTTAACTGAGATGGCTTCCAGGTGGTGAAGCAGTGGGGTTAAAGGCAGGCTTACTCCTGCCCCAGCCCTGCACCACTCCTGAAAGCAGCTGACATGTACAGCAATGGCTCCATGGCACCATGTGCTGCCCCCCATCTACAAGGCATTCACCCTCAACTTCTACTGGTCACGGTTACCCATTATTGATCGATGGGAGCTGCAGGACTGGTGTCTACAGGCAAGAACAGCATGTGGAGACTCCCTGCTCTGCCTCTCTCCTGGGCTGCAGGGACATGCCAGCTGCTTCCAGGAGCGGCAATTACCATAGGGATAATTACTCCAGCCACAACAGGTTGGGTGTTTTAAAACTCAGTATTGAAAGAATTAAATATAAGCATTAGAGAGAAATGAAAGTTATGAAATGCACAGTCTGGTCAAAACCCAAAAATGCCACACTTTGCAAGCAGTAAAATTAGTAACAACAACAATCCATGTATGTGTAGGGTCAGGAGATGAGAGTGAAGGACTGTGTGTTTGTGAGAATGACAGAGGCCCACACTGTGTGTGAGAGTGCCAGAGATTTGTATTGCCAAGCTCCCTCCATCCCCTTCTCCCTGAGTGTGGAGATCAGGTACAGAAATGGGGAGATGAGGGACACACTGACATCAGTGCCCTGCCTTCTCTCCCTCCCACACCTTACACAGCAAGCAGGAGGCTCCCAGGGGATGCAGCTCCAAGAGAGAGGGCAGGAGCAGCATGACAGTGGGTGGAGGAGCAACTGAAGTGCCAGCACTTGATAGCTTCCTAGCCAAACCAGTCAGGATCACCTGTTAGAGGCTCCAAGATCTACCAGCAGATCCTGACCTACTGGTTGATGATTAGTGTGTTATGTTAACTAAGGTACTATCATCCTATGTGTTTTCTTAGTACAGACTAGGAGTCAAACAGCATCAGCACTATGCCCATTTTATCCTTGGCCTCCTTTCTAACACTGCCAATTTAGAAGTGCACCAATTAAAGTGGTGGTTTATGATGAAGTAACCTGGGTAGTAAAAATCAACAGGACCAACTCATTTCAAAGAAACCACTTTAATTGGTGCACTTCTAAATTGGCAGTGTTAGAAAGGAGGCCAAGGATAAAATGGGCATAGGACAAGTCATCCACTCAACTTGGTTGCATGGGGAAACAAGAATAGCAACGTGACACGTTTACAAAACAAGTCAGGGTTTGTTTGTTTTTTTTAAAACCCAACCACATGATGTGCAAATCTAGGTGAAGAAACACTTGTCCTAACCCAGCAGTGCAGCTAGGGAGGGAGAGCGCATGACACCCGAAAGCAGATGGGCATCGCTACCAGCCTGGTACCAACCTGGCAGATATTCCGTCTCAAAGCGCCGTCTGGTTTCGCTAATTAAGGCAGCTTTGTCCTGCTGCTGCTGCTGCTGAGAAACAAGAGGAGAAAGCTGCGTAAGTCCCACGCACCCCAGGCCCGGGTA